CTATATGCAAGATTCACGATGATTTACGCTAGTAAGCATACAATGTAATATAAATCAACAACTGCAGTGATCTCGAACCGGCAAGCCTGGGGTGTTTCAGTCCAGAGTTTGGTAAGCGACCGCTCAGGCAGGCTTCCGAAGAGTTAATATATCTTTTTATTACGCCACAAAATATATCTTTCTATTACGCCACAAAATTAAACACAGAAAGAACTGTTTACTAATTCCAAATATACGCTAAACGTGACATAGGGGTTACTTACCTGACAACGCTTTAACAGGCAAATACGGAAAAAGTTTTAAATCTGAGGTAAAACTGAATCACCTTTATCAGCAAACACGACATCACCCTTTTTGGCGTATGAAGGTATTGCACTGGCAACCGTAGAGAAGCCATAACTGTACAGGACGGATTCTTCACATCCCAAGAAATCAGCGATTTGTTTTTCCAGCATAAGATGTATATCTACGGTACCATAAAAACTTCGTGGCCCGCAAGAACCAACACCGTACTTCGCAATCGCGTCCTTTGCTGCTTTCTATAAAACAACCCGAAATTTTCTATTCCCCTTTAAAAAATTTACGGCAATATTATCAAAACAGTAACTCCAAGTTCTCAACTAAGGAAAATGGGGACTGAATATTCGAAAAATTCCCGGAAAATGGTGGAGGGAAGCTAAAATAGCTTCACTTTTCATAAAACCACTTTTTTTTCAAAGTGTTCGATATCATGATAATGCGCTACTGATGAGAACTGAACCCCCTTTCATTATTTTACCGCGTTTCATGCTTTCAAAATTACTTCCAGAGCACAATTCTGATGCAACTGCTCAAGTTGGGCTAGGACTGTTGTTGACGGAGCCCTTTCTCGAAAACTGTTCCGGACCGGGAGGGAATAGAACCACTCCTCTTCACGTCCGGACGCAATGTGTTACCGACACACCAGCGGTCCTTGTGCTCTAAGTTCAGCCTGGCAGCACATCTACTGTGTATCTGCCTTTCAAGGCAAATATACCTTCCCTTTCTTCTTTGTTTTCTTTGTGACGGCTTTTTGGCCAGGTTTTCGCGGGTTTCCCACGACAAGCATCACCAGCCTGTTGACCGTCAGGCAGTGCAGTATTGTCGATGCAATTCTAAAGTTGCCAGCCGAATAATTGTAAAACAAGCTATGAATCACTGCAGATCAAATAAAATTATGGACCTCAATAGATGCTTCATCAATCAGTCCCAAAAAATTCGTTGTGGCCAAATTGAAGTACTTTACCCCATCATATACAGTGTATTTGCATACCTTCCTGCAACAAAAAGTGCAATAAATTAATGCCGAGGACGGAAAACTGCAATCGAATTTTGATCCGTTTTAAGTTTTTGAAATACTATTACATTAATGAAAATGCCAGAAATAGTCAGCTGAAAAACAGCAGTAGTGAGAAAGGTTCAATTGAGCGCCCATACGTTATAAATTCACAATTTATAAAACAGTGCCAGAAATCCCAGGAAAGATGGAGGGATTCTAAATAAATAAAAATAACAAAATATTTTACACTTTATTATTGTTTTCATTTTATTAATACTAAAATATTTTATATTTCATTAATACTATAAAATATTCTAAATAAATAATAATAAAAAACAACAGCAAACTCTTTGGGGATTCAAAAATATTTCAAGTAAAAGAAACCCATCAAAATAGTGTGTCTGGAGAGCAGGATGATCTGGAGGTGTTTCAGGTACCAAAGGCACCGGTTTCCATTCCGCAATAATTTTTTCTTCTTCCTGCAACATGCAAATAAAAAAATACCCTAAAAGGGCACTATGCACCCTTTTCATAAAAAGTACTGCCGAAACAAAACATAAAAACTCCTTCCATATTTGAGTTGTATGAGAAGCGAAGGCAGACGAAAGTCATCCAAGTGGTAGCAAATGCCAATAACAACTTTTTACCAGCAAAGCTGCTTATGGCTCTCTCTTCCCAGCACGCTGATGTCGAAAGCAAAATGTGCTTTTGAATCAATGGTCACTTCTGCCTGTTCCTTTTGCTATTTTTAAAAAAGAAAATGACCATTCGGATGGTCACAGGAGATGCAGCACCCATACGTGATGCAGGCGGCTATTCCTGGGAACTGTATTTCAGGACAGAAGGACCCGGCAAACATATTCAAGGGCATCAACGTTACTTAAATTTACAAAAAAAAAATCGTTGGATACAAAATTCTTAAGAAAAATCGTTAGACATAGAATTCTTGAGGAAAAAGTTTTGTTTTTTAAAAAAAAGCTTACTTCTTCTGTGAGTCGGTATCTCTTACGAAACTTTAAAGTAATGACGGCATAAATGATCGCTGATAATACGACAGTCTCGACAATCAAAACTTGATAACTCTGTAAGAAATTTGATAAGTTGTACTATTCTAATAAACAAAATAAATGTCAGCTCACTAATTATTTTGATAAAAAATAACCAAAACTAATTCGAGGAAAGATTGCCGCCTATTTGGCATCAATACTCTTTTTAAAAGAGCAAAGTTTCCGAAACATTTTTATTAAAAAAAAAGTTACAACCCTAAATTTATGACCAATAAAATTCAGAATGCTTCCTATCATCTACATAAGAGAAAGCAGCTGTTATTTCATCACTGCTCTCCCCTGTCGATGCAGCTAGCAACTTCTCCATTCTTCCCTATTTTGAGCTTCTCTGTCATTCACCGAATCCGAAATAGCAGTTCAAGCGAATCCTTTCACCTCTCTGGCCACCTTTTCTAATGATTATTTTAACGAAACATAAGTACCATTCAGCAGATTTACTTTGCTGCTATTTCTCACCTTAATCAAAATGTTTTAATTGCTCTCCCCAAAATAGTGATTCTTCAGTGGCGCCATTGATCCACTACTAAAAGTAAGAATATTTCTTCTTTTGTAAACTATATTTTTACCAGTGCACTTCTACCAAAAACAATTTCTACGCTATTGTTAGAACCCGAAAAATACCAGTTTGAGAAATGATAACTTACTGGCGAAAAAATATAAGTAGCAATTCCGTAGCCGAAAAAACTACTCCCATCTTTCTGCACTTCTTCTGCT